ACTCAAATATCTCATTTCAAAAAATGTTTTTAAACGTAAACTGAATATATAAAATTCTACATATTTACCTGCAATGTACAACACAGACACAGATACATGCTTATGTATATTATAAAGTCAAAAATTTAAGTGAATGACAAACACAGCCCTGCTTGAGAGCAGCATATGTGAGCCAGAGGAGGTTGGAGTTGATAGAAGAACTAAGTTGTTGATTCTCAATTTTACTTCTTGCACTATAGGGGTCTTATTAGGGGAGTCAGTTAATGAGTGGACATGTTGGAGTGTTGAGCCTCCCTTTTCTTCTAGTATGTGCAGGGTTTCTGATCTAATACCTAGGACCTTGATCTACTTTGAGCTGATTTTTTGCTCAGGATGAGAGACATGGAGTTAAAATTCATTCTACTATATATGGATTACCAGTGTTCCCAGCACCATTTGTTGAAGAGTCTATCTTTTCTCCAATGTATTTTTACTGGCACCTTTATCTAGTGTGAGGTTACAAGTATTTTTGTGGGTTTTTCTCTGTGTCTTCTATTCTGTTCCGTTGGCCTCCTTGCCTATTTGGGTGCCAATACCATGCTGTTTTTGTTATTATTGCTCTATAGTATAATTTTAAGTATGGTATTGTGATGCCTCCTGCTTCACTGTTCTTGCTTTTGTTACTTTGGCTACTCTGAGCCTCTTGTGTTTCCAGATGAATTTCATGCATGCTTTTTTTTTTTATTTCCATGAAGAATGTCATTGGAATTTTGATGGGAATTGCATGAAATCTGTATAGCACTTTTGACAATATTAATTCTGCTCTCCAAGAACACCATCATTCCTATCCCCTTGACCCCTCTTTCCCCTCCCTCCCCTTTGTCCTATCTAAAGTTTCTCCCTTCCCCCCATGCTAGCCTCCCCCATCACCATTATAGGTCTGCATCCTCATATCAAAGAACATTAGGCCTTTGGGGGAATTGTCTTACTTCACTTAGCGTGACATTCTCCGGTACTTCATTGAGAATTTGTAGAACTTGGCTGAATCCATCTGTTCCTGGGCTTTTCTTTGTTAGTGGGCTTTTGATGACTTCTTCAATCTCATTACTTGTAATTTATCTTTTAAATTTTCTATATCCCCCCAATCAATTTGGGTGGGTCATGTGTCTCTAGGAATTTATCCATGTCTTCAGATTTTCTAGCTTGTTGAAGTATATATTTTTCAAAATAGCTTCTAATTGTCTTCTTATTTCAGCAGGGTCTGTGGTGAGATTTCCATTAGTAATTTGCATTTTTTCTCTGTATCTTGGTTAGCTTGGTTAAGGATTTATCAATGTTATTTACTTTTTCATAGACCCAACTTTTTGATTTATTGATTTTTTGAATTGTTTCTTTAATCTCAATTTCATTTATTTCATCTCTGAATTTAATTATTTCTTGTGTTTTGCTGATTTTGGTGTTGGTTTGTTCTTCTTTTTCTAGGGCATTTAGATGTAATGTTAGATTATTTGATATCTTTCTATTCTATTAATATATGAGCTCAATGCTATAAACTTTCCTTTTAGAATTGCCTTCATAGTGACTGAGAGATTTTAATATTTTGTATCATTATTCTCATTTACCTCTAAGTATTTTTTTATCCTGATTTCTCCTTCTTTCCATTCATTCAATTACTCTCTAGGTGTTAGAGCAGTTTTTATTTTTATCTTTTTGTTGATTTCTAATTTCATTCAATTATTATCTGATATAATGCAGGGTATTATCTCTTTCTTTTTTTTTTTTGTCTTTGCTAAGAGTTGCTTTGTGTCCTAAAACATGATTGATTTTGGAAAATGTTCAATGTTTGGCTGAGAAGAAAGTATATTCAGTCACTGTTGGATGAAATATTCTATATATGTCTATCAAGTCTAAATTATTAATTGTATTTTTTAGTTCTGTGGCTTCTTTATTTTTTGTTTGGATGATCTGTCTAGTTATGAGAGGTATGTTAAAGTCACCTAGTATTATTTGCTTCGGTCTGTTTGATTCTTGATGTTGAGAAGGGTTTGTTTTATGTACACAAATGCTCCATTGTTTGGAGCACAGATATCTATGACTGTCATTTCTTGCTGTTGTATGACTCTCTTGAGTTCTATGAAATAGACTGATTTATCTTTTCTGATTAACTTTCACTTTAAGTCCTCTTTATCACAGATGAGAATAAAAGCCTCTGCTTGTTTATGAGATCTATGTGAATGAAAGGTGGGGTTTTTTTTCCATCCTTTCATCTTCAGTCTGTGGATCTTTTTGCCTATGAGCTGAGCCTCTTAGAGTCAGCATATTGTCAGATTTTGTGTTTTTTAATCCAATTTGCCAGGCTATGTCTTTTGATTGATGAGTTGAATCCATTGTCATTCAGTATTATTATTGAGAGATGATTTTTATTTCATGTCATTTTGATTTATTTCTAGATTTTAATTTATATTAGATTTTCATTTAATATACTATTCTCCTAGTATAGTTTCACCCTCCACCAGTTTTCATTTGTATTATCCATTTCTTCTTCATAAAATATTTTATCAAGTGAATTTTATAAATCCAACTTTCTACTGTAAATTCTTTTAACTTTTTTTTATCATTAATGCTTTTTACCTCATATTTAAATCTGAAGCTTAATTTTCCTGGATATAGTATTCTTGGTTGACATCCATTTTATTTCAGAGTTTGGTATATATTATTCCAAGACCTCCTTGCTGTTAGGATCTGGGTTGACAAATCAACTGAGCTTCCAACAGCTTCACTACTAAATGTGATCTGTCATTTTTCTCTAGCTTCTTTTAAAATGCTATCCTTAATTCATATGTTAGACATTTACATAATAATGTGCCTTGATATGTATGTTGTACTTTTGTATATTTGGAGTTATGTATGCCTCCTATATTTGATTTTCAACTTCATGCTTAAGATTTGGTAAGCTTTCTGCTATTATTTTATTGAAACTATTGTGCATTCCTTTGATTTGTTACTCCTATGAATCTTAGATTTGGCCCTTTTATGTTATTCCATATTTCTTGAAAATTCTGTTCTTAACATCTTTTCTCTGTGATCAACATTATTTTCAAGATTATGTAGTTTCAATTCCCTTGCAAGGTTTCAAACAGGTACAAAAAGAGTCTGTATCCAGGGCATAAACATATGGGAAAAATGTCTGAAGTGCACATGTGTCACAGGGAAAAATGGACACAAAACACATGACAACCAGAGACTGGTCAGCAAAAATGAGACCCGATTCCACCAGTGTAAGTGACAAAGAGTTAACTTCACTATAATGTGAGCTACATCTCATTGCAGTTGTGATTTTGACGCCCACCCTTATTTCCCCTAAGTTTAGGTACTTGTGGATAATGGGTATGCAATTGCAGGTTGTAGTTATATAACCTGTACAAGTGTCAGTCATAGGGTGTGGGAGGAATGAATTACAAAATCCTGTTCAAATCATGATAAATTCTGAGAACAAAGGAGCCACTGGTCCATCTCCTTAGAGACGGCCCACTCTCCTTCCATCTCCTGAGAGTTGTACTATCTTTCAATAACTTTTGACCCTGCTTTTGCTGCACTGTGCCATGCTTGAATTCTTCTCTTTGGAAGACACAAACACAGAAGAGTGGGACAACCTAACCCATCCAGTATCAAGTGTATGAAATGTTAAAAGAAGTTCATTGTATTGAAAATTATATTTGTGGAATATGTGAAATGACCCAAGAGGCATTGGTTAAATAAAAAATTTAAACCCCACACATTTAGGCATATGCTACATTCACATTTATCAATTCGGAAAGATCTTTGCAATATAATCTTATCTGAAAACCAAGTTACAAGGTAACATTCACATTACGATTTTATGCATAAGTAAGCATTATATGAATGTTTGGGTGCTTATGTATTTGCTGGACAACTTTGGAAGAATGTTCACCAAATGACTCATTTTTCATGAATAGAATAAATGTGGGTTTTGCTTTTTTTTTTTTTTTTTAGTATTGCTCATAAGATTCATTTTGTAAGTTGACCAAATTCAATTAATCAAACTGTGATATAGGAATGTAAGGTCACTTTCATCAAAATCTTTGTTTATAGTAGAGTTATTCAAGGAAGGTAATTAATTTGACCAAAGTTAAATGAAATTCCTCATGTGCTTCAAAATGTGTGAAAAAATATTCTTTCAGCCAGTGAACTGGGATGATTTAGCCTAGGTTTCTTTGCCTTGTGTTTCTTTCCTGTTGTGGAAAGCTTCAGTGAGCTTCAATTTGTCAGGTGTAGATGGGATTTGGGATGTAATGTGCTGTCAGTAATAAGTAGTGTCAATTGATATACTTAAGATAGTGAAAATATGACACATACTTTGGAAAACATATAACATGAACACTTAGAATATATCTTAATATAGGTATACACTAATTCCTCCTTATCTTTAGGGGATACATGCTAGTCCTTGAGTAGATGCCTGAAATTGCAGTTAGTTCTGAACCCACACATCTTGTTTTTTCCTATACTTAAATACCTATGATGAAAATTCAATTCATTAATTAGGCACAATAAGATATTAACAATAATAGTAGTAAAATAGGACACTTATATCAATATACTGTAATAAAAGTTGCATGCACATGGTCTCTTTATCAAAATATCTCATTGTACTTTTGTATTTTCACTTAAAGGCTGCACCTTTTTTCTTCTTTTGGGCATATCCAAATTTCCAGCCTTGTTGCTCTTATACTTTTGGGTGATTATGAAATGAAATAAAGGTGACAGGAACACAAGCATCGTGCTGTGGCAACAGTGGGTGTGATAACCAAGACTACTGCAGAGTGACTGCTGTGTGGGTAGTGTATATAGAGGAGACACCCTTGATAAAGGATGATTCACATCCTGAGCAGGATGGTGCAAGATTTTATCATGATATTAAGAATGGCATGCAACTTAAAACGATGACATGTTTATTTATGGAATTTTCCATTTCACACTCTGGGGCTGTGTGACTGAAGCACTGGAAAACAAAATCATAGGTAAGGGGTAACCAGTGTTCAGTGGCCATCCTAGAAGTCCTTACCAGAGGCCTCTGCAGCTTACCTGGGTCCTTTGAAGTCAAATGGATGCAGAATTTAAAGTACTGTGTGTGAGAGCTTCTGATTGGTGAGTACACTTTAGGAAACATGACAAGGGAGAAAAGGACATGCAGAAACTGAAATGTGCTGATTAGTTTTTTCCTTGCAAAGAGAGACAATTTACTTTTAAATCAGTTCAGGCTAAACAAAGAATCTCTATTTGGTTTCATGGGCAAGGTATGGAAAACAAAGTACAGCTGACTCTAAAAGCTCAATTATATATACTCCACAGAACAACTATTAAAATAGAATTAAAAGTCCTTGTAATGAAAAATAAAGAAATGCTGTCATGTAGGAAGGCAGCTCAACCAATTTGAATTATGGATACATTTCAACTCTTAACATTGTTGCTATTATCACTATTATTGTTTTGCTACTGTTTTACTTTTTTATAGCTTTTTTTATTTGTTCTAATTGGTGATACATGACAATATAATGCATTTTGACACAACGTAAATAAATGGACTTGTTACTATTTTAAATATGCAGTGTATCTACATGGTAAATACTGAAATTTATAAAAATCATAAGCAACCATCTTTTCCCTGTGTTACCAAGGATTCTAATCCCCTGGCTTATAGGACAGTACTTATAGATTCACACTGTAAGTAAGGGAAGGAGTTAGATATCTTCATAACTTACTGGCTGAACTTTTTAAAATATTCATATGTTTTAGTTTTATATTTTTATTTGACAAACTTTTATCAATTTTGAATTGTTATGAAGACAGAGATGTTTCAACTAAGCTGTTAACTAGAAGTTTCAAAAATTGATTTAAAGAATGAAATTCAGTTTTTAATTGCTATTATTATAATTATTACTTTGTTACTATTATTAAAAATAAGAACTTTGTGAGTCCTTTGATATCATATTTGATATTGTTTTATATTTATTCAATCCTAGTCTAGATCTTTCTATGTAGTTGTATTTTCTTTTTACAGACAAAACCAGTTATAGAACGAATCCTGTGATATCACTAAGTGGCAGAATCACTGACTACAGACAAACTTTCTAACAACACTGCTCCCTGACATCTGGAGAGAGCGAGACATTGGGGTTGCTGTTAAAGAAGTACTAAGTCTCAGTTATGTAAGATGAAAAGTTCTAGAGATCTACTGTACAATACTGTGATACTGTATTTTGCACTTAAAAGTTGTGAGATGACATTTCTCAAGGTAACTGTTCTTACCACCCCACCACCATAACAAAAAAATCAAGTCCATATTCTTAATTAGCCATCATTCTAAAATAATTAAGAACAAAATAATCAGTCAAAATCAGTAATGAACTAGAAAGAGGTAAATTAAAAAATATTCATTTTAATGTGATCCAGAACTTAGTTATCTGATTCATGTAATTTTCCACATGAGCTTCTTTATTATGGCATTTAAAATTATGAATTTTCAGAGCTGTGAGCAAAGATCCTCTCTCAGGGGAAAATATACTTCTGTCTGCTGCAGAGGCCCTTGCAATTTGTACACCGTCATTTCTATTTCCTCTATTATACTGTTTCTACTCACACTATGTGTTCATTTTGTCCTCTGTGTTGAGGTGCTTTATAAATAATTTAAGCCCATCACGTTTGATAAGTACAAAAAGCCAGGAGAAGGTTGAAAATGCTAATAAGATCAGCCATGCATTTAAAATGAACATGGAGGTAGAGATCACTTAGAAGCTCAAAAGAGTGAGAAAAATGACATATATCATCAATGCTTAGGGAACAGCTATTCCAGGGTAGGAATTATTCTGGAAAACAGAGTAAATGATGCAGCATGTAAGTTAGTTAACAGTAATCAATGAGAGGGTGAGGAAAGTGGCTAATTAAAAGGGCAACATTTTTTAGAGCATGCCTAAAGAACTATCACTAAAGTCAGAAGCTTATTTGTGAAATGATTATTTAGAGAAACTTCCAGAAGTGAAAGTGTATGCATGTTGAAAATGTTATCAGTGGAAAATTGACTGAAGAATATATAATGGTGCATGTTCAGGGTTCAGCACAACAAAACGAATGCCAAAATAGTAAGAAGCTAAGCTGTCCTCCGGAACATCTATCGGGGAGTCTTGTTAGAAAATATAGGGCAGAATACAATGCTCTGCTTTGGGCAAAGCAGAACTTGAAATTGGCAATGAACTTAGCACCTTGAAGTTGGCAATGTGCATCTGTGAATAGGGGATGGTTATTCTCAATTTGAAGGACTGGAACCACATATATTTTCCTTTGACCTACAAAGTTGAAGTGGCCTTTGGAACTTAACCTTTCTCAATTCAAGATAGCTAAAGTGCAGTTACATTGCTGAACATAATTTGTATCTAATAGTTGTAATTTATAGATAATACGATATGAGCCAAAAAATGTAAACCACAAATGTAGTTTCTTTCTTGAGATAATTATTAATTAGCACAAATTTATAAGAAATTGTATGAGAAAATGTCTTGTTCCTTTTATCCGGTTTTCCCCAGTGTTAATATCTTGCAAAAGTACAGGGCAATATACAACCAGGATATTGACATTGATTTAGGACCTGAATCACCACAAACCCCCTCTTTTGAACTTGGTATAGTCCCTCTCACTTTCACTATCTTCTTAAACTTAAGCCTTGGCATTTCTACATTTCTGCAATTTGTCATCTGAAAGATGACAGCACATGGACCATACTGCATGTAACCATTTGGCATGAGCTATTCTCTTTTAAAATTTACTATAATTTTCTAGAGATTCATCCAAGTTACTATATGTATCAATAGTTTCTTCTTTTTATTACTGAATAGTATTCTGTGGTATGACTGTATTATAGTTTCTTCAACCTTCAAAGAAATGCTAAGTTGTTTCCACATTGGAGTTATTAAAAATAAAACATATTTGTCCATGCAAGTTTTAGAATTAACGTAAAATTTCATTCTCCTGGATAAATGACAAGGTGTTATAATTTTAGCTTTTATTTGCAGGTTAGTTTTTAAATAAAATGCCAAATTGTTTTCCAGAATGACTATACTGTTTTATTTCCTTAAAAGCAGTATATGAATAATCTACTTTCTGTACATCTGTGTTGAAATTTAATAATTGTTATTATTTTTCATTAATTTTAGCTATTCTGATAGAAGTGTAGAAATTCTTGTGAATTTTCATTTGCATTTGTCTAAAGAGCTGGTAATCTTGAACATACTCCCATGTCTCCTTAAATTCCATATCTGTTTGACTTCTTTGGTAAAATCTGTATGTATTTATTTGCTCCTTTTTTATATATGTGCATGCACACATACACATATGTCTGTCTGTCTGTCTATCTATCTATCTATCATCTATCTATATTGAAATCTAAGGTAAAAGGAAAAATCAGTAATATGAAGCCTTTATTTAAAATTTCATTTTTTCCCTATTTAAGATTCCAACTTTCATTTTCCCAACACCAACTAAAATTTCTTAGAATAACAAGTAAATATTGAATTTGATTTAGTGTTTCTTAATCATTAGATATGATTTTCTTCACCAATATAGTGATTATAATTTTTTCTGAACTTATGCTATCCTTTAACCCCTGATATGATAATAATTATTCATGATGAATAATAATTTAGAGTTCCTAGATTGGGAATTATAAATTTTTATTTTTGTTTTTTCCATTTTCTTTGTCAAACAGTGTTTATCTGGTTTGGACATTTTTTCTTTTAGTTTTCTTTGTTTATATAGACACTAATTACCTATTATTTAAATAGTTATTAGAACATTATATATATTTTTCTTGAACTAACATTTGTTTTTCTATTTTATATCTGTGTCTCTATATGTTTTAAAAATACTCATTCTATTTTTGGATTATTCTCTATTTTCCAACATATTTTTAAATTCATTTTGTTAATTTAAGATTTTAGAAAAAAAATATTGATTTAATACACATTTCAACTATATTCACATAAAGGAATTTATATAATTTTCTTTTATTTTTAATTTAGCTACAAGTATTTTTCTCTTTTCATTTCTCATATGGTTGATTTTTTTCCTTTTCCTTAACCAGATTTCTATAAATTTACATCATTAGTAAATCTGTTCAAAAATAAATTTTGTATTTCTGATAGTTCAAATTAAATGTCATCTTTTCCTTCACTACTGCCTTCTGTTTCTGTGTCATCCACACACAGTCTTGGATTTATTTTACCTTCTGAAGTCAGATGCTAATCTCTACTGTTTCTCATTAGCACATATATTTACATTTCTAAATTCCACTTTAGCTGCTTCCTGGAAGTGTTCATATTTGATATATTATCTCATTCTAATTTATATTGATTATATTGCAATTAAATGTTTTAATTACAATACTTTTGTCTCAGTCTAATTATTTTCTCATTTTAGCAATGATTCTTTATCAACCAATTTGTTATTTATAAGTGAGTTATGAATTGCAAACAAATAGTCCTTAGACTTTTTGAACATTTTCTCATTTATTTACATCTAAGTAAAATGTGACCAGGCTGATGTTAAAAACTGAAATATTTGAAATCAAATTTACAGTGTTTCACAGTATTAAATTTTATGTATATTTCCTGTGATCTTACAAAAAAAGATATCTAAATAATAAACTACAGTCTTAGAAATGTCATTTAGCTAAAATTTGTTAGTATGTTGCTCAGATATTCTACAAATGTGCTAAAATTCTATTTGTCTATAAATTACTGAAAGAGAAAATATAATCCATGTGGATTTATCAATCTCTTCGTACAACTTTGTCAGTTTTTGCTTCTAATACTTTGGAGCTCCTTTATCAAATGAATAGAAATGGAGAACTATGTTTTATAACCTAGTGTCTTGTTGAATTTTTCTGTAACCGAATAAGTATGTTTTCTTTATCCTAATAGTGATTTGGGGCTTATAAGGAGTTAAGTGTGTGTTTTACATGTTTCCTCTTATTTGGTATTCATTTAGAATATACCTTTCCAATCATTAAATTCATCTTTCTATATCTTATAAATTTGTACTTTATAAACTGTAATGTGGTGTTTATAACAGTCATGAATATCTGTTTACAGATATTAGCAATATTAGCAATCTGATTACATTCATTAGCAAACTGGTTTAGTCTATTTACATTTACTGAAATGACTTTTGTGTAGATTGCTACAGATTTTCAGTACCGTTTATCATCTTTTTCAGTGTACTTTTTTCATAGCTGCTTTGTTTTTTCTTGGATTAAAAAATATTTGTTTACTTCTGATAATTTAAATTTTTGTCATCATGCTTAAAAATTTAGTGGGCATATTTAATCACACTCAGTTATTTATCCACATCAATTACTTAGAATGAATTATTATTTTCTAGTACTTTGTTTTCACATTATTTGCTCTCCTTGAATTAAATGTTATCAATGCATTACACAGTGGGTAACGGTGTAGATTTGCTGAGATGGTCACTTATTTTGTTTGCTCCTTTGTTCTTGTATAGCTAATACTTCTCCTGGTATTACTATCATTTTTTTCCTGAAATTCATTCTTTACGGAAAGTATTGGAAAAAAATCTCTAAATTTAGTTTGACTGGAACCAGTTTGTTCTGGAAAGAGCTTTGCTGGGCACACAAGACTAGGTTGGCAGAAATTTCCTTTCAGCATTTTCTGGGTGTCAGCATCGCTTTTCTGTCCCTTCTTGCCACTGAGGACATAGTTGTCAATGAAACCTTCATTTTGTGTTGCGTCTTACTCTGTTGGCTCATGCTCAAAGTGGCATTTTCCATTTGTTATTTGTAGAAATAGGATGAACTTTTGAATGAGTGTCCTAGACTGTCCTTCTAGAGAGGATTTGTTTTTGTAGCCTCTTGGTGACTGGGATGCTGCCAAACTTTGAAGAGGAAGCTGATTTGTAGCACAGTGTTCAATAGATGAGCCAGGTACTGTATATCCATTTGAACTAAATTCCTTGTGCAAACAAGACCAATGTTAGAATTTGTAAGCGGGGACTTTGATTCCCTCGTCCAGAACCAGTTTGAAAAGATAAAAGTCTTCTCTTCCCTAAAGCAGTTATTTCTGAGAATGTACTTCGGTTGGCATGTTTTTCCTTGTGAGTTTTGGATTTATGTGAAGATTATAGATTAGACTCCCCTGATTCAGGCTTTTCCATTTGTCTCCTCTTTGGTCTTTAAAGGCAAGCATTGTGCTTATTATCCAAAAATGCAACAGCAAGATTACAGCAAAAATTTCTGCCTACTTTACCACTTTGATTTCATGATTCTTGTTTTGTTTTCTCTGCTTGTTTGCTTTTCTTTCTATTTTTTTTTTAAAGTTTGCCGTTGCCCTGGAGAATTTATTTGCTTTCTTTGGAACTCTGTATTGCATTTAAATATATGTTTGTAGTAAATTCATCAAGCATCTCTAAGTGCTCTGTACCCAGAGTTTTTTGGTTTATTTCTTTTTTCCCTCTTGGATGAATTTGCCTACTATATTCCCAACTACTGAAGTACAAAAACTGTTTATTCACTCAACTGAACCTGTTAGCTGTCTTTTCCATTTTAATATACAATAAACATGCTTCAGTTC